TAAATAAGCGAGCTCGTTAATTATAGAACCGGATGCAAAATTAATTGCAAGTATATCAAATTTCAACGACATTCGCATGCATTCCTTAACTCATGACAGGCTTATGGTCGGCCACCCAACTGCCAACGGACGGCCTACTATCCTAACAAAATTTAGAGTCGCCCCAGCTTTTGGTACTCCAAATCAGAAGCTGACGCGTCATGTAATTTTCACTGGGTATAAAACAACCAGGATTAGCAAAAACGCTACGCAATAAAGTCCCAGTCATGCTGTTAACAAGCGTCGTTAACGAGAAGGTCATGGCTGCATAATTAAACGGCTTGCCACTTTATTCAGCGTATTTTACGTGTACATTTTTGCGCTGAAGATTCAATGAGATCAGCAAGTGCTGATCTAGCACGCAATTTCACTAACCGGCTGTTATCGTCAAATCTTCGCTTTGTTCCTTCACAATGACAACGGCAGCAGAAAATTTTACAACCTCGTAGGTTGTAAAATTTACAACCTTTTTGGTCGAAGAGGTCGCTACTGTAGTGGTTTTTCGGACAGTTTCGTCAAAATTTAAAGCTTTTTTATTTTATAGAAATAACTAGATTGACAATCGATGGTGAAACTGAGAACTCAATCTAAACTAGATCCTCTATTCATCGATTCCCACAAGAACGGATTAATGCCATTGCATTTCCAAATACAATTTGGCTCCCGGCCGTATAGGCCTATATATGAACTGCAACTGCCGACACCAGCTCCACCAATTAAACCAATTACAACCTCCTGGCAGGGACATTTCATCCCAGCCTAACGACCACCCTTACAGAAATATATCCGTGGATACATCCGTGGCCACTGAATATCCGTCGAAAATTCAGCTTATGACATTAGCCGTGAAGTCACTTACAATGCCTGGGCTGGCGTGTCTCGCTGGACAATTGCACTTTTGCCGCTGAATGACAGACTTTAAATTCCTAGATGACTTTTGACCGCCAGTATTCAGTCAAATTTATCATGTCTTAACAAGTGACGTCACTTACACGAAATGAATTTTTACGTCCCATTCATACACTACATGAAGTACGATGTACCGTACTGAACTACGACGTTCTTCACTGCATCGAGACGCACTGCACTGCACGGCACTGCAATCCTGTGCAATACACTGATATCAACTCCCGTAAGTGGAGCACTCAGAGAGACGAATGAGAGTTTGTCAATTTATCGATGTGCTTTTTGCCTATAGAATGCCTATAGAAGAGGTCATTTCCTTTCTTTGTTTGTTTTTGTTTGTTTTTAAAACGTGAATGCCATTAAATTCAAGTGAAAGAACTTCATATTCATTTCTTGTCACTGGAAACAATGATTTAAATTACTTACTTTTAATTTGATGATATTTAGTTAAGCGAATTTACCTTGACACAATCTTACTTCATATATCCACGTATCGCACTTATAATACGTTGCCTCCCAGACGTATGTCGATTAATGCTCCCTTTGGACACTTCAAACCTCGTATATTTATAACTGAAACACAATCAATTCCCATCTCATGAAGGCAATATATAATTGTTCACATCTATATTTGCCGACCTCACGCTCGGCTAAATAAGAGCACGCTTGTAATTATNTAATTATTGCTAAAGCAGATTCAGGACCGGCCAACCGTCGGCCGCCGTTATACCACTGATAATAAACTGCGTAAAACACACACAACCCGCGTACAAAAGTTAACTAATATTTAAAATTTAATAACCGCAAAAACCCCCTTTTGCGTTATTTACGCAACACGGAGCGTATAAAAATCCAAGATTAACGTGGATGTTTTTTGTTAGCCTTAATTCACGCTAATTCACGCCATTATAAGAGATGTGTTTACCAGATCCATTGCCCATACTTTCAAAAAAAGTTAAGAGATCGTAAGTTCATCAGCCAATCATTGACGGCCTTTCAAGCAAAATCCACCAATCTGACCTCACGCTCGGCTAAATAAGAGCACGCTTGTAATTATCACTTAAGCAGATTCAGGACCGGCCAATCGTCGGCCGCCGTTATACCACTGATAACAAACGGCACACAACACAAATAAACCGCTTATAAAAGGTAACTAATATTTAAAATTAACAAACGCAACAACCCCCTTCTGCGTTGTTTACGCAACACGGAGCTTATAAAAATCCAAGATTAACGTGAATGTTTTTTGTTAGCCTTAATTCATTATTCATTAGGCTCCAATAAATTGTTCGGATAGGCTAGGCAATTAACGAAGACACAAGGGCTTTCCCTTGTGACGTCATCGATTCAGCAAGCGTGCACTCAAAAGAATTAGTGAACTTTGTCTATAAATCAATTTACTTTTTGCCCTTATGTTGATCACCCTGATCCATTTTGTCCCAGTAAAAGAGCATTTCAGTGCTTCACGCTGAAAGTCTGTCACGATATGTACAAACCAACCCATCTTTTTTCTACGTGTTTCAAGTTTTACTGAAGATATAAATAATATTACCTGAATTAATATATATTAATATATACTTATCAAGTTATGGCATATTTAATGCGGCACGGCACGACAAGGTCGTCGTGCACATGGCAGCTGCGATTCTCGGTCGTCATATAGCTGAAGGATTAATGAAAATGTCATATTACAAATATAAAATAAAAATTTATTATATTAAGAATTTTACGTTTGCATGTAATTATTAATTATTAGAAAATTTTGTTATCAATTCTTAATATATACGCGTTAAAATAAGAGTTAAGTGTATTAGCCTGTTGCTTAGTTTTATGAATATGAATGTTATTCAGCTCACAGCATGCACTTTACTCACCCAGAAGCTGAGTATTCTGAATATGAATGGTGCTCAGCTCACAGCATGCACTTTAGTCACCCAGAAACTGAGTTACTCAGCTAGAACTGCAGCCCTCAAAACCTCATCCTGATTTCTCTTTAATTGCCGGACTTCCCACACGGCAGATTTTCGGCGGCGAATCGGCGGCGTTTCGGTGTCCATTCGGCGTTAATCAATGCGTATAATTTTCTTTTGATTAGCCTTGTAATCGTTTTTGTAATTGCGTACAATACTCATTTTATTGTTGATTAACGATTATAGCATTGGCTGCGCATATACAGTACAACCTATCAATAAATCCTGTCTCTATGTCAAATTATGTCAGAACTTAATAACGTAATTCATTTAGTATTCAAGTCTAATTTATTAAATTAATTTGTTGTAAATGACGAATAATAAGTTCCTGGTCAATATTCTTTTAGAAATTCGCGATGTACTGTGACTGCATTGTTCACTGTACAGTGTACTCAAGAATATAATGGATCATATTGTTTAAACAGCGAAGCAATTTCTGCACGTACGTAGCACTGATACACCTTCTGCTAGGCCAAACTTAGTCAATTGAACATTCACACAGGGGCTATGAGTTCATTAACTTTTTGAACAATGTCTCACTATCTTTTCTGAGTGGAAAATGCTAGTGTAAATCCATGTCAATCATTGCAATGTTCATGAATATCAGCCAATCAATTGCCTTTATTGTTGCTGAGAATATCCGTCTACTGCGTAAAACAATCATTGTAAAACAATCAACATAAAAAATTATCGTACAACAATCATCGTAAATAATTAACGTGAAACAATCAGCGTAAAACAATTATCGTAAAAAATCATCGTAAAACAATCTTCGTAAAACAATCGTTGCAAAACAATCATCGTAAAAAACAACTTAAGAAGAACCATCGTAAAACAATCATCGTAAAACTATCATCGCAAAACAATCATCGTAAAACAATCATCGTAAAACAATTATCGTAAAACTATCATCACAAAACAATCATCGTAAAACAATTATCGCAAAACAATCATCGATAAACAATCTTCGTAAAACAATCATCGCGAAATAATCATCAAAAAACAATCATCGAAAAACAATCATCGTAAAACAATCGTCGCAAAACAATCTTCGTAAAACAATCATTGCAAAACAATCCTCGTAAAACAATCATCGACAAACAATCATCGTAAAAAATCATCGTAAACAATCAACGTAAAACAATTATCGTACAACAATCATCGTGAAACAATCAGCGTAAAACAATTATCGTAAAACAATTCATGCCACCGTTCCCGGCATGGCGAGGTGGCCGAGTGGTTAAGGCGTTGGACTGCTAATCCAATACGGTCTCCGTGCGTGAGTTCGAATCTCATCCTCGTCGAACTTTTTATTCTCGTTTAGCCCAACCTGGGATTGTGGCACTGAAGATGTACTGTTAATGTGTAGAAATATTGTACAAAATATGCAACAATATGTGCACAACAAAATACAAATAGATATTCGCTACCAGAGTACAGGGTTACTTAGTGCAGAACATAATTGTGCTTGTATTAAATGAATATTCCAGCCAAACATAATGGACATCAACAACGCAAAGAAATTAATTGTATAATAACTATAGTCTCAATTTAATACTTTAATAATTTATCGTAGTTGAATAAGTTAACATGAAGCGTATTTTCAATTCCTAAGTTGTTGACACTAAGCAGCTTCCTGCTAAGCACCGGCCTAAGTACATAAAAAATAAGCTTATTTTGACCAAATAGCGATGTACTTTTGCCCTTTTGTGCGTCAACGTGACCGAGTTTGGCCCGGGAAAACGGCGTATCAGTGACACACGCAACAAGTGTGTCACTATTTGGAAAATATGAGCCATACATTTTTCTTCGTGTTCAAAGTGTGAGCTGTCGTCTCGGTGCTTTTGAGTTTTGTGTCAACAAATTGGCTTGTAAAATAAAATAAAAACGGATTTTTCGTTCTGATTCTTGCCGTCAAATGAAGGCAGCGTGTTTGAGGTCTCCTGTGTAGGCTGTGTAAAGCTTCGTGTATTTTTCTGCAAACATTTCGAAAATTTATTGGTAAAGATTTTATTAGTTATGAAATATGAGGAACCCAATATCAAAATGCAGTTATGAATTATTTTTCCATGCCCGTTATTCAGCGCCTCCGTGGCCTAATGGATAAGGCATTGGCCTCCTAAGCCAGGGATTGCGGGTTCGAGTCCCGCCGGAGGTTAACGTTTTTAAGTTGTTTCTTTCACAATTGAATGTATTTGCTGCAAAAACGATCAAATTTGTTTCTAGCAAGTAACTACCTGCCTTCAACAGCAACGCGCCCACAATCAATCAGATTAAATTAAAAATATTAATTATGATTTTTAGATTGTATAATAAATTAAAAGTTAATTTAAATTGCTTGCCAAAAAATAAATAATGTATGATCAACAATTGTTCCTTGTTGTTTTAAAGCTTCATTGAACTCTAATTCCATCTAAAATTAAAAACATTTTGTGATGGCGTTGTCCTGAATTTGCATTATTAATGGACGAAATTTTTCTTCTGAATTTGTATTATTAATGAACATTGCATTGCATTTTCATCAAAAAAACAACAGTTCGGCTGAGGCTCCAGGGGCCAACTTGCCTTCACTTCTTCTCCCTGTGGACTAATCCCCTGCAGCCGGGGTCCCATACACTCAGAAAAATTGAGAAATTTTGTCCATATTTCGATGCACTTATTGCCCATGTGTCGGTCACTGACCCAGTTGTGATCGACAAAAATACGTATCAGTGCTACACGTAAAAGTTTGGAGCTATTTAGAAAATGTGACCCATACATTATTCTGAGTGCACTAGAAAAAAAGCCTATTCAGTCCTGATTTTCTATTTCACATGGGATGAATTCCCCTCAGTCCGGTCCACATGGGATGAATTCCCCTCAGTCCGGTCCACATGGGACGCATTCCCCTCAGTCCGGTCCACATAGGACGAATTTCCCTCGGTTCGGTCCACATAGGACGAATTCCCCTCGGTCCGGTCCCTATAAAATAATTTTATCAGATAAGGTCATTGTCAAAACAGTCGCGAGTAGACGACCAGCTGCAGTGTGAGGGGAGGTGAGAGGGGAGGTGAGGGGAGGTGTGGGGAGGTGAGGGGAGGTGAGGGGAGGTGAGGGGAGGTGAAGGGAGATGAGGGGAGGTGAGGGGCTGTCTCTTATACACATCTAGATGTGTATAAGAGACAGACTCTGTTACGACTTGAATTGCACACAGCACTTTGTAATTAAGTGCAAATTATCAACATGGACCATCGTGTCCTTCGGGAAAATTCATTGCCACATATAAGTTTTAAAACTACTTTAAATTTTCATGAAATGGAGTGAACCATCCGAATTACATTGGAAGAACGATGACAAAAATTGAGCTCGATTACTGACGCACTCACGCTTTCGCATTGATCGCGACTCGGCGACAAACCNCTGCTGTGCACCGACGCAGCGCACAGCGCGCATGGCTGCTGTGCACCGACGCAGCGCACAGCGCGCATGGCTGCTGTGCACCGACGCAGCGCACAGCGCGCATGGCTGCCTGTCTCTTATACACATCTAGATGTGTATAAGAGACAGTGCTAGACTTGATCCCTCAGCTCCTCCTAATTAACTCCCCCTGCATGCTAGACTTGATCCCTCAATTCCCTCTAATTAACTCCCCCTTCATGCTAGACTTGATCCCTCAACTCCCCTTATTTAATTCACCACCGCTTCCGCTCGTAAAAAATCATAATTCCACGCTCCTAATAAAATTTATATTCTGCATTGCATATCGGCATCGAGTTAATTTGACCGTGTAACTGCGATTAACGTCATAATAAGAGCCTCCACAATATTTACTTCGTAATTTCTTCTACCATTCCGACGAAAAGTGAAGCCTATGAGGTATTCAAATTTGGAATGTTAGTAAGTATTTACTTCGTAATTTCTTCTACCATTCCGTAGTAAAGTGAAGCCTATGAGGTATTCAAATTTGGAATGTTAGTAAGATTGTCTGAATCCCAATTTATGTTTGCGATGCATTATCTCAAGCGTCAGTTGTCCGGTCATGACATAGCTTCATTTGAAGACTATATTCTTCTTTAGAATTGACAGCTCTATTTATAGTTCAATCTTTTCACGAAGAACACCTGTTTTTCTTGCGATATTTTCTCAATAATCAGTTTAGCTTCAGAAATTATTAGTCGTTGAAGTGTTTGGAGAGAACCTTTTTAACACACCGATGTTTACATATGAAATATGTAAATACCGGAATGAATTCATTAATTCATATCGGAATGAATTCGGCTCATATGAATTCAGTTTAAAGGCCAAGAATGATCTATTCAAATCAATGTGTTTACAACTGTCACAGATTCTACCGAGCAGTTCATTATTTTAACATATTTACTCATGATCCTGACTAAATTATCATAGGCTGATAGTTGGCCGCCGATTATCCACCTAATATCTTCGGCGAAGCGAACTTGAGTGGCGGGAGTGCTAAACGCCCCCCGCTGGTCATCATGGGGGGCCATCCGCCCCAGGGGTGGGTTGCGAGGGCTAAAGTGAGGGAGGAAGCTTCTTGTTGCTTCAGTCTCAGCTTCCTGGCTTCAATGTTTTCGTTACAGAGGGCGCCTCGGACCACCACGCCGGCTGCACGCCGTCGAAAGAGGTAGGGACTTTGAACTGAAGACTCGAATGCTTCTAACAATTTTTTAAATTCTCTATTCAGATTTTTATGCCATAATTGAAATACATGGTTAAGAATTTTTCCTATTTTTTTCCTATATATCGACGAATTGAATAAAAAAATTGCTTTTCTGCAAATTCATGCTACCATATGAAATCATTATCATTTTCACCATTTAGTTTACTTATATTGCAAACTAAAGATTGCTTAAAAGCATAGAAATTTGTAAATCTGTCTCTCAGTAGATTACAAATTGATCTTGATCAGTACTTGTATTGTTACCCATTATATTAGCGCTGCTAATATGGCATATAATGGTTACAATGCTTACAAATTGATGTTGATTAGTACTTATATCGTTACCCATTATTTAAGCGATGCTAAAATGACATATAATGATTACAATATGCTAATGTGATGGTAATGTGGCATGTGATTGGAATGTTTATTGTAAAAAGTGGTTACCCCGATTCCTCGAGAAAAAGCTCCACGTCGAATTAAGAAAAAATAGAAATACTTATGTGATGCGTAATGTAGCACGTAATGGGTACATGCGATGCGACGACAGGTTGCAGCAGAAGTAATTACGAACGCCGGTCTTCGTAACATCGTTTCTGCCCGTCATTTCGGGTCTCCTGCATCACGAAAAGCTGGTAGTGAAAGTCTTTCGAAAAAATACGTCTTTGAAATTATCTAGAACCGTGGGAACCTAACGCTCGGTGATTGCCGAATAAAAATTAATTAAACTGCACTAGTATAGAAAGTGTTTATGAGATTTTGATTTCCAGACTTCCTGCATCTTTGAATCTCAATTTGTATAATATGCATCTTGTTCTGGTGTTGTTGTTGGATAGTTCCAGCTATTATTGGCTTTCTTGGTAGATATATTACTGCTAAGGAATACCTTATACCTTTTCCTACATAAACTATTACAGATTTAGCTACTGTATCATTTTTAATTTTTTTTATGGTTGAGCACTATTTCCGAAAATTTTCAATTAAAATGTGACGAATTTCTTTCGTTGTCTTCACCATTAAATTTAAGGGGGGCGTATACCTTAAAAATCGGAAATTTTTGCTTTTCCGCTTTTTATGCTCATCTTAAGCTTAAATTGTTATGCGACCAACGATTTGGCCTCAGTTCTATCACGTACGTCATGTAATTTGTTTGCACAATTTAAGGCCAGTCATCGAGTTTTTTATCGTCTGCTAGTATTTGAGTGCCGAACTCTAAATATTTTTTCTAGTAACTTAATTAACTATTTTCAATTCAATATCATTCATTTTTCTATTGCACTTTATCTGTTTGAGGACCTTATAGCTATTGTATTCAAACGGTGTAACTTCCTATATTTAATTTCTTCGTTTGGGTTCATTAAGGATCAATTTCGGGTGCAAATTCTTTATGATAGAATATTTTTAATTTTGTCCAGGTAGCTCATTCTATGGTACATTTTATTGGGTTCTAATTTACATTCTAAGGCTTGTTGCTCTCCCAGCTCGGAATAATGAAGGTTTCCTGTGCCGTACAGCGCGCATGGCTGCTGTGCACCAACGCAGCGCACAGCGCGCATTACTGCTGTGCACCAACGCAGCGCACAGCGCGCATTACTGCTGTGCACCAACGCAGCGCACAGCGCGCATTACTGCTGTGCACCAGCGCAGCGCACAGCGCGCATGGCTGCTGTGCATCGCTATACCTTCACGTCCGCGCAGAATACAAAGTAGCTAAGGTCAGTTAAAATTTCACGCCATTTGGGCTAAATTACACTCGAAATTACTGTACAAATGGCCCAAGTTCAGAACGCTTTTCTTCGAGTAAAACTAAACGATTAAGACCCGAGTTTTGCCCACGTTCAAGAACTTGCCATCCAGTTGAGTGCGTCCAGGAACTCAATACAGAGTCTTGAGAAAATTATTTTTTGGGAGGCTTTTTGGAGCCTGTGACTCACTTAAAGTCTTGGTTGAAATGAAGCGAATTTCGGGATATGATGGCATGTTTCAGGTCAAAATTATTGCATAGGAACATTTGGAATTTGTGGAACCGAAATCATGGGCAATGTTTATTAATGGATTAAATTTTTAACTAAATATTTGCAACGCTAGCATCTAGATATGCATTCAAAACGTTGATGTAGAAATAGATGAATAGCATGAACTTATGTACACTGAAAATTAATTCAATCTCATTTATTTCAATAAAGTTTCGCAACCTTTCAATCTTTCGCAAAATTTATACGCAGGATTCTTCTCAGCAATTATAAAATGAAGTTTATTTTCATACATAACTTGTGAGAGGCTGAGACGAAAACTCAAAAATTTCTACGACGTCAAAATTTACGTCATCGTAAAGTTTCTATCAACAAACCGTACGTTCAGTTTGAAGTCTTCAGTGACAAATGCACTTACGATGTCGTAATTATATTGCAGTATCTGACTCCTGGTCGACTGCGTGGCCGGGGACAAATTTCCCTCGGGACGACAGTGCAAATTTCTCTCCTTAATATGCATTGTTTTGGCGCCCGGCGACCCTTGGGACCAGAACAAATTCGGGACGTCCGACGAGGGTGGTAAACTTGAGCCAGCTTCTGTTCAAAGTTCTTCACAAAGTTGAAATNGGTGCCTGCGCCGAACTGCATGGTCACGGCGAGAATTTTGAACTGAGATTGTTATTCAAGCCCATAGCGGAATATTTTACGTTTCATAAATTACCGTGTTTATATTCTGTCTCTTATACACATCTAGATGTGTATAAGAGACAGGGCAATGTTTATTAATGGGTTGAATTTTTAACTAAATATTTCCAGAACTAGCATCGAGATATGCATTAAAAGCAATGATATAGAAATAGACGAATAGCATAAAGTTATGTGCACTGAAAATTAATTCAATCTCATTTATTTCAATGAAGTTTAAATGAAGTGACCATCAAAACTTGTTATCGCTGATTGGCAACAAACGTTTTGCATAATTTATACTCATAATTCTTCTCCGTAATTATAATATTATGCGTTTGAAAAATACTTTTTAAATACAACACTTCTAAAGTGGCCAGTGTCTCCGATGTTACACATGTACTATGAATTTCACATTTCAATTTTAAATATTAAAAAATTATTTTTAAAAATTTTGTTGATATCTAAAATTTTTTTTCTTCAATTTTTAAAATAATTTATTCTGTCAATTGATTCATGCATTGTCTCCGACTTTAGGCAAGTGTGCAAAATATCAGATCGATATTGGACAGGTAGAAGTGTCTTAAATATCGATTACAAGATTTGTAGCAGACAAAGAAGAAGTCAAGTTAAAGAGAAGTGTTGTGATAAAAATGAAGTTTATTAACACACATACGTAGCTTGTGAGATGCTGGGGACGAAAACTCGTAAATTCTTGCGACTCCAAAATTTACGTCATTGTAAAATTTCCATCAACAACCGTACGTTCAGTTTGAAGTCTTCAGTGACAAATGCACTTACGATGTCGTAATTATATTGCAGTATCTGACTCCTGGTCGACTGCGTGGCCGGGGACAAATTTCCCTCGGGACGACAGTGCAAATTTCTCTCCTTAATATGCATTGTTTTGGCGCCCGGGGACCCTTGGGACCTGAACAAATTCGGGACGTCCGACGAGGGTGGTAAACTTGAGCCAGCTTCTGTTCAAAGTTCTTCACAAAGTTGAAATGATTTTATTAGTATGGATTAGACAGGTATGTTGGATACCATCGCCAACATACATGTATGAATCAATGGAAGCTTCAAACAATTTTATAAGTACGTGGAGGTTAAGAATAAGATAAGATAAGAAGGTTAATTAAGAAAGATCGCCAGTATAGGCCTATATCTTAATTAAAGGTCATAGGTCATAGTTCTATATATAAGAATCATTCCACATTAGTTGTGAACCTAAAGTTATATATCTATATTTCAACCTAAATTTCATTATTCAAAGCTTATTGTAACTTAAATTGAATGTTGTTGCATTCGAAACGTCACCAATATATTAAAATGACTTTCTGAAACCTGCCTTTCGATCTACAATCGTCATCGAAAGTATTGTTCGACTCCATGAAAATTTAAATCAAATGTATTTGCTGGTCGTTAATTGCTCATGCATAAAGAAGCAAATTCTGCCGTATAATACTAATCATATTTATAAAGGCATTTATAACATGGAAGTCACTGGGCCATCTCCTTATATGATAGTACTAACTACGCCTCATATAGTCGTTATGGCACCAACGATTTTGTAAAATGATTTCAGTTCGAAAGTTCTTTGATAAATCATTTGAAGTTCTAATATAACCTTTTTCATCAATAATCCTGAATTTTGTATTCATATGGTGCTACTTTGTATGATGCTACTTTACGATACTCATCTTGCAAGATATATTTTCTATTGTTGTTGAATGAAATTGACTGTCAATTAAGAATCAGATATAACTCTAAACAAATTCTAAGTTCAATTCCGATGCCATCTTTATGATTTAGTCAATATGATTCGATCATTTTGATTCAATCCTCATGATTCAGCGGTTATGTCTGGAACAATTTTCAATCAAGATCACTCAATCTTGATTGAAAATTTATTATACAGTCAATCTGGTAGAATCGTATTGATTTAGCCAATCATTATGATTGTGGTTAGCCTTATTGAGAACCCGGAAGCGCGAAGGTTGGAAAATAAAAAATATTTCAAAGGAGAAAATTTATGTGGCACAAGTGAAGACATATACAGCGGCAAACATTATATTTACACGATAACACGCGTAGTTAAGATACACGTGTATAAATTGGGACTCTAGGTTAACATACATCGGGAGCGATATGTTTGGGGAGTGTTGGGATGGGGGGATAGTAAATGTGAGTATCTTACGCTAACACGTCTTTTTAGTATTTAGGTAACCACTATTTAAATTTCATTCATAGTGATAATATATAAAGCAATTTATAAAACACATAAATACAGAGACGATAAATATACAAAAAGATTAGTGTACCACGAATGATATTAATCAGGTTAAAAAAGAATGAGATCTCAGGCATTGCTAGTGCATGATAAGCCTCTATTGGTAGCTGCATTCATATAAACTTTTCAAAAATATCTTCCATCCATTGTACGCAGCTTATTACATTTCTACATTGGGATTACATCCTTGTGATAAACTTGCTCTAAATTATCTGATTGCCGGCTTTTGATCAGCCTACAATAAGCTTACTATTACTTAAATTCACAATAAAAACGATGGTTACAATAATACACTAACGGGTAAGAGAAAAAGGTGATCACAACATGCAGTGAATACAATAAAGCTCGGAGGGACTGAGCCTGGATATGAGCGTTCCAACCCTGATATGTTATGATATGGATCGAAACTGTTGGATTCTTCAGACTTAAAAATGTTTAATGTTAATAGCAAAATTTATCACAAACGCCTGAGGTTCTATTTAATTTTAAAGTAGCCAGCATCACAAAATATCGTCCTTAACACCAGGATGATATGTGCCTTTACTTACATGCTTTTTAAAGTTATATAACTCGAGTTGTTATATAGAAGTCACCGAAATAATTATACGATAAATTAATTATAGAAATATTAATATAATGCGGGAAAAGGAACATTTGAGTATGAATTTTACACATGCGGTAAATATTTATCAATTTTAAGCTTGAAAATCATTTTAAAATATAATATCATCTTAATGTTTTCAATATATGAAAAAATCGTCAGTGAATTCAAACATTTGTAGTACTGGAACTAGAAGATCTATTGAATAAATCGAGAAATCAATTGCCGTCGCAATGGAGCCATCTGCGAATGTACGGTGAACGAGGTATTTGATTACCCCAACAGCCAAATCGGCGCAGCAACGCGACAGAAAACAAGCAGGCATGTCCAAGCTACCAAAACATTTGCGGATGCCTGCGAGATAACGCATGCCTGCGGCCGCGCCCGGTCGAATCGGCCTCAAACTGCTTCAGTTCATCACTGTCGGTTGAGTTCGACCATGCGGGGAAGGTGCCTGCGCCGAACTGCATGGTCACGGCGAGAATTTTGAACTGAGATTGTTATTCAAGCCCATAGCGGAATATTTTACGTTTCATAAATTACCGTGTTTATATTAACGCAAGTCTTGTTGATTACCGTAACACTAATACGTTTTGATTTTAGTGCAGTGATGAACATTGCGGAAAAACTTTTCAGAGACATAGTAGGTGTGTGGAAGACATTCAAGTTTAGGACTTGGTAAGTTTGTACACAGACACAAACATACAGTCACAGACGCTGACAAGCAGTCACAGACACATGCACACCAACACTGACAAACATTAAAAGGCAATCCTCAAAAATTTTCATGACATCACAAGTGCAAACAGTAACTTGAATAATTACTTCAAACTCTCATTTAATATCTATGTAAATATTGGAAGATAATGACGGGTATTCAGGGAGCTATTTGCAACCTAACAACAAGTTATTTGCTCAAACTAACTATTAGCAAGCACCCGAGATGCTGAAAAGGCTATTGTTTCACCAAGGTTATAATTACTAAAACTTGGAATCAAAATTAATACACTGAAATATTGTCTGGAGTATATGAACTGACTTAATTTAATTAAGTTAAAAACCTGAGCAAGTATTGAGTTGTACAGAAAAATTTAGAGACTATGCTCACTCTTGCGCTCCACTTTAATATATTTTCAAAATTCATTTTAAATGTACATTAGCAAAAAAGGCAAAATTTAACTCATTTGGCTTCAAAAGAATCAAAGGTCACATCAACTGAAGGAGTTGACAAAAATTGCCAATAATGTTCGAGTGCCACTTGCAGTTCGCACATTTCGAAGGTTTCTACGTCACTGTAATGATGTGCTATTGTAAAAAAAGCCATTGGCCATATTATCAAAACTCGCATAAGTACATCTAGCAACCGATTTCTCGTTTGTGATTGGTGGGTTTAGCGTTAAAGGTCATCAGTGATTGGCTGAAGTACTTACAAAATGTTAACTATTTTGATAGTACGGACCTCTTGTTACGTTTAACAATAACAGTCGCAAAGTTTTTAGCAGTCATTGCGATAATATCTAACTTTTTGCAGCATGCACGTATTGTTTCTGAATAAAAAAAATGTGAAATTCTTATTTATTTCAGTTTCATGTGTCAGACATATTTTCCATTTTGCAATGCCAGAATGTGAAAATCGTGAAACTGAATTACTCCCGCGTGCACTATACAAATTAAGAAGTTCAATGAAAAGTCGTAATTTCTACAAACGACAATTATTCTCTTCCTAGTAAACTAACATAATTAGGAACATAACGAGTAAACTTAATGGTACGCAAATTAAATAAGTAAATGATATATTGGATCACAATCGAAGCATCTAACTAATAATATCTCAAATGTAAATCTTGGCCAGCTTATCGACGGCCACTCAGCGGCCTCCGGTCTGCCAACGGCCTGCTGGTCAAGGTTCCTATGGAGGCTCTTCAGAGCCGAGCGTAGAAATTAAAACTAAGATATCACAGAAAGTCTTAAGAAGCTGCTGGCTCCAGCGTAATTAAAAAGCCTCGGGACTTCAAACCTGGTCCGATATACGAGCCTTTCCATTGAAAAACTTTTGTGGGTCTCGGCCACGATGAAAAATAATGAATCTTGAGATATTAAACGTAAAATTTTAAATATGTACTGTAGCTAATTTATGTGTGCATGGTATTTATCTATAACGAGGTATTCGTTAATTTTTCAAATTAATGATGACAAATTTTCAAATTTCCGGTTCTTCATAAAATTCCGATATTGTTATCAAAACGGTTGCTTCACATTTATAAATAACTTGCAGCGACAGTACAGAAAAATCTAAAGTTTATTTAAGTTATGCACAAAAAGCTTAGCTTAATTTTCCCAACATTTCCGTTGGCTGAGCTAGTTAAGTTGAATAATATTTCAGATATCCTAAAGTATTGATATGTCGTGCACCTTGGAAGTTATTGAAGCTTATATAGCAATATATTAGATTCACAATTCGCAGGCCACAAGCGGACAAGCAAAATTTCCGCATGGCGTTCGCGTCGTATTTTTCGTGCCCTCTTGTCAATAATAATGCAGTGCGGTTTGAAGGATCGTCATTACCTCGCTGGCCCCACGTTTTTTCTCTGCAAATATGAGAGAAGGTCGTGAAAGGAAGGCCTCAGGTCTTCTTGCTGCGACCAACACGACTTCATCAGTTGGTAAATATCACGACCACACGACGACGGTTGCTGTAGCAACGTCATACCCATCCCGTCATCGTGGTAGCAGTGCGACAGGTTCTCCAGAACTAAAGCGTCCGTCATGTTTTCGTACGGCTGGCAGGAGCCCAACGTGAACAGCTCCCAGAGAGTCACGCCGAACGACCAGACGTCTGATTTGCTACTAAAACGTCCCTCCAGTACGGCCTCCCAGGCCATCCATCGGATCGGTAACACACTTCCTCCGTCTGAATGGAAGTAGTGATTCGTGAAAGCTGGTCTGCTCATCGCCACGTCAGTTATTTTAATGATTAAATCGTCACACACTAGGCAATTTCGCGCCGCCAGGTCTCGGTGTATGAATCGTTGCGACTCAAAATACGCCATGGCTGATGCGATCTGCGTGGCCATGTAGATTAGGTCGCTTATAGCAAGCACAGGTTTGTTCCTGGTGGGCTGGGTGCTTCCTACAAAGGTATGTTCCCTCAAAAAATGGTATAAATCTCCATGTTCTGAATATTCAACCAACATTGTATGACTGTCATAAACATTGGCGGTTCCCAGCAATCGAGTAATGTTGGGGTGGTCTAATTTACTGAGGATCGTTGCCTCTTCTTTGAAGTTTTGAATTAGAATATCACTGGCCTTAGGCATGAGTTTTTTTACAAGACATACGGCACCAGGCGTAATGTTCTTGAACGTGGTAGTGACAACGTCTTTGATTTTGCACAGCTGAATAAATCCAAACTTGCCCTCTCCTATAACCTCAATCACGTTGTAGAGGCCGGTAGGGATGTTGGGAATAGATTTTTCTCGTTTGGTATAGACAGTTTCGTTCATGTAGAGGACCGTGCCTGTGATGCTCCTGATGTCCGTCTCATGGCAGAGTTTGGGGGTGGCGTAATATTGTTGGTCAGGAGGAGGAGGAGGAAGACACAGTACGGGGGGAGGAGGGGTACCTTCTTTGCGCGGGAAAGAGAGAAGAGACGGAGGTTTTGATAATGGGATTGGGGGAGGAACGGGGTATGCCTCCGAAAAGGGCGGTGGCGGGGTCATGGTCATGTCTGGAATGGCGTAGTCCACCGAATCTTCGGATTTGGGAGTAGATTTGACGGGTAAATCAAACGGTGAGTTATGTCCCATAAAATAAGTTGATGTTTGGGAACTCACCTTTGAGTACGGCTGCTGATACATGGCTGCGACCTCTTCTTCAAGACCTACCTCACCATAGGCCCTGCCCTTTACCATAGAGCATCCGTTATCATGCTGGGAAATGTTCATGTTAATGTGCACGTCATTCATCTCAAATGAAAATTTTCTCGGTACTAAAGCATCACCGGTTGGCTTTTTTTCTTTTCTTGTGATGTATGAACGGTACAGGAAAACCCCCAAGGCTGAAGCTACGATGAAGGCTGCTATAACTACCAGGGCCGCTATGCCGGCTACTCGAGCGGTTGAATAAAGGTTGGTTTCATTCGAAATCGGGATTGGAGTTTGATCTGCATACATCTCATCCCCAGCAAGGGTTGCACTCGCTGGTGCAAGTGCTGTATAGTTGCACTTGCATGGAACTGTTGAAAATAGGGGAAATATGCCATATTACTATCTCAATTAATTGAAAGTGTACAGTGTAAAATTCATTAATATACGATCTCAATAATCAGTGGAGAGAACAACATGACCTAATTTTTCAAACCAGCACCAGGCATAATCATGGAATCATTTCCAGGGCTTAAATTTAAGTAAAATTTTCTCGAAATCATAGTTTCATGACACATCAAATACACATCATGAAGACAAAAAAATTTAAAAAATATAAACGTCAAAAAAACCACTCACCGCTGTCAAACGTGATCTCGGAGACCATGAGCCATCGCAAGGCAAAGAAGAGCTGAAGTTTGACGGTGTCTGCGCTGGAGTCGTGAAGCCTGATGGTCACGTTCTTGGCTTCCTCGAACACACGGTCAGGCTGCTCGTTGGTCTCGATGCCTTTGTAGTAATGTTCCCCGCCATCCACGCTGAACATGATGTTCGCTCGAGAGAACACCTACAGACAAAAATCAGGGTACGTCCATTTTAGGTTTCAAATAAATAATTTTTTAGGGTATGGTTTATGCTGGACAATACGTTAGTGTTAAAGTTCGAACGTAGGATGACATGTTAATAGAAATTCTTATTGTTTTGCAAGGGAATAATATCTTGAAGAATTAGATTGACACTTGACAAGGAGATTACTTCAGTGAAGCTCATCTATTAGATGAGTGTTAACTCTTCGTCTGTTTTGATGAGTAAAATATGTATCCCGACACAATGTGTATTGATTATTTAGAAAAATTTTTAGACGAATACACAAACATCAAAAAACTCATTCAACCCTATTTCATTAAAATTTTATTATTTCTGTACAAATATCTTGAAGGCTATTTTTAATGGCCTAAAAATATCACAAATTTGCAAGCAAGAGTAGTCTCCTAGCAAGAAAATAACACAACCAAAAATAAAAATCTCTCATATCTAACCTGGACATCTTTGGAGAAGAAGTTGTTCACGAAGAGATGCACACTCGAAAAATTCCGCACGGAGTCGAAATAAAAAATTATTTCGACCGGTTTTTTGCCTCTGGTGGTGTTCTTCCAACCAACCCACTCATAACCTTTGAGAACAAAATTATAAACATTTTCGTTAATATTTCAAAATAACAGTTGTCTGTACTTCAACTGCATTATTATGATAAAAAATTACTAAATTCTTTTCTGCATCATAACCGTTTTTTCTATTCTTCAAAATTTAACATTTTTCACATTGATTATGTAGAATCAGTTCTAAGTATAGAAAATTGTATATCAGCCCGTGCCTAAAAATCTCCGTGAAATAAATTGCCTTTTGCTGGAAGTTGAGCTTCAATTGTTGTTAGTCAGTCTCTCAATGAATTACTGATAATTTGGATAAATATACCTGTAATAATTACAGTAACTAAATTAAAATAGAAAAATAAACAAGTTAAGTTTTTCTATTTTAAAAATAAGTTTTTCACCATTATGTCTGCCTTTGACGTCAACTCTGAAGTTGTTATGGCCGATCTCGCCGTCAGTGAGCTGGCCGAGACCGCCGGCAAGCAGGTTGCCATCTCTGCTGCCGTCGTACGTCACGTCCTGCAGGCCGTCGTCCTTACCGCGCAACTCACCGTCCTCGGTAGTGTACGACAACAACCCTCCTGCTCAGAAGCGCAATTTTCCTCCATTGAGATTCAATATTTTGACCGATTAAAATAGCACATATCATAATCTAAACGATAAAATCAGTATAAAAGAAAAACAGAGCAAAACCATATAAAATTTTTTATATTTATTTGTTAATATTTAGTTAATGAATAAAATGTGTCGAGACTTACCCTTGTAAGGACAGCCGTAAATCTCGACGCGCATGCACACAGTCCTGGCGTTGTCGCTGTACGGCACGAAGCGCAGCCGCGACGCTAAGATTGGGGGGCTCAGCGTCGACTGCTTCGGCAGGTATGTGTTGGTGTTGCCTTCCAGCAACTGTAACATGTGAGGTGGATGTGTGTTTAATTGTCTTATAAGTATTTTTAATACCGTGTATTGTGTCTTCAACAGCTCTGGCACGTGTGGTGGATGTGTGTTTAGTTGTTTTAATACCGTGTAGTGCCTTCCAGCAGCTGCAACACGCGTGGTGGATGTGCGTTTAGTTGTATTACAAGTATGATAATACATGTAGATTGTAGAGTGACTTCCAGCAACTATAGGCACATGAAATGGATGTGCGTTTAGTTGTGTTATAAGTGTGATAATACGCGTTGGTGTTACCTTCCAGCAACTGTAAGCACGTGAGGTGGATGTGCGTTTAGTGGCGTTATAAGTGTGATAATACGCGTTGGTGTTACCTACCAGCAACTGTAAGCACGTGTGGTGGACGTGTGTTATCAACACTTAAAGTAAAGTTCCTCGGTGTGAGTTGTCTTCATATAACTGAACGAAATTTAAGCTTATATTCAATATAAGAATTGTGAATTGAAACACGTCTAATCATATATAGGAGATATGAATAAATGTTTCATTCGAATTTTCCCCTATGGTGTTAATTCCAGCACCAATATAGAAAAAGTTTCGTAACATGCCAAGTCAAATATGACAATCAATTATTCCTAAAAATTATTATTCAAAATTATCAGAGAGATTCCATAACGTAACTCGTTGTAAGAGTAAAGATAAATGAATTTCATACACCTAAAGTGGATTCATGTATCGTTGCTACGCTCGTCTTGTGGTTCTGAAAGTCTTATTTAAAGCGGTGCCTTCCCACAAAGCCCTCGGATGTCTTTTTAATAGAAACATGGGGTCTTGCTGCGTAGTTTATGGTCTTTAAAGACCCCGGCATCGTCGTTGTATACAAACAAACACGACAAAGTTCTCCTCAGGGATCCGCAGCGCACGATAGAACAGATGAGAAATACTAATTATTATTCTATTTCGTTGCAAAAATATAACTGCCCTTCATTGGCCGGTCATTATTTGACTAGGATTCCGAACAAGGAACTCTCCTGAAAATAACGTTAAAACAGCGTTTAATTGACGTTGTTTCAACGTCCGATGCCCTTTGGCAAGCTGCGAAGAGTTGCAAATAAATCATTGTAATAATTAACGTACACGTATATGCAACAGAATTCAGGTGAATTTTGGTTTAAATTTTTTAGTTAACGAGTTTACGATGCAGAAAGTGGTTGGGTTTCGTTTCATGGGCCGTTAATTTTGAGTAAGACATATTGACACGATTTTTTAATTCCCCGCCATATTTTGTCCGCGCGGACAATGATGAGTGAAATTCGGAATTTTAGTTTCAAATAAAAGGACGAAGACACTTGTTAATTTATTTTAATGACTTTCAGAAAACTGTTAAATGCAGGTTTGAGTTCAAAGTCCCACGGTTACAGATGACACTTCTAATATTTACTATCAACAGGTTAGAAAGTCCCTTCAATGATCGTATAGTCGAGTCGCATAATACGAATTTTGCAGGTTAAGTTCAAAATATGTATGTTAAAAGATTAATTTTTATGATTATATGTTACAAATATTGGTTTGAATGCAATAAAGTTATGTCTCGTACCTCATTGTCAGATTGAAAGTCTATAATAATAATCTTTGATAATATTCCTAATTTTAAAATTAATATTCCTATACATGGCAGGAAGTGCGTATCTATCAATCCTAATATTGGTAAAATTAGGCAGACGCTGCTGGTTGATGCCAGTTTTGTTAGCAACCATAGAAAACGATAATTTTCCTATACAAAAGAGAAATTGGTACAGTGAAATTCAATTAAGAAAATTGCAGATAGTACTTAATCTCTGGTTTTCAACTTGCCAACACATTTAATTTTCACCGTAATACATTACAAAATATTCCGTAAATAGCAGTTCACCATTAATTTAAAAGCAAAGAAAATGCCAATTAAATTCCGTTTATCTTCAATGAAAGCATTTCGGAGACCAGCGGCGCCATCATCAGTTCAAAAGAAACAATGAATTTATTTGATGTTTTCTTAGCTTTTAAAGTCTCTCATTTGAGACATGTACTAACCTGACTACCATGACCGTCCTGGTACGGTACCCATTTATCGATACCAGGCCTGTAGTACTGTAACTTGTACTGCTGTGCGTACTCGCGCCCCTGGCCGTTACCGAACCGCCCCTGCACCTCCACCTTGGTCACCACGTGCACCTTCACCAGGTTCACCTCCAGGTACTCAAGCCCTTCGGTCTGCACCGGGGTCCGAGGGCACCATGCCCCTCCCCCCACCTCCTTGTGGGCCCTTGGGGTGAATAAAAAATGAATTATTAATAAGTACCTTAAATCATTAGTCTACTTAAATCTCAAATTCGCCAGTAATTTAAAAGCAAATATAACACAAGTAAATTCACCATATCTTCTTGTGAACGATTTTCGTCGGTAAAAAATGTATGATGATATAATTGTATGATATATAATTGTATGATAATATAATGTGATGAATTTACTTGTCGATTTCTTTGCTTTTAAATTCATGGAAAACTGGATTGGCGATAAAATTCGAATAAAGGAAACGTTTACATAAAAAATCATCATCTGTGGACCCCCAGCTCAATGGATAATTTTTGGTCAAAAAATGATTTGGGAGACTGAAATAAAAAGGGAAGCTCAACAAGCCACATAAGAAGCAGGACACTAGCCGCCTCAGTCGTCACTTAATATGAAGAGAAAAAAATCCTTTCTCAATAATGCAAAAATTTATTTATTAAAAAGGTCAATAGTTTAATGATAAAACTGAGACACTTAAATTAACTCCAATATCTTCAAATGGAACTGAAAAACATGAAAACAAAACAAATTTTAATTTCTGCCTATTGTATTATTATTGCATTGTATTTATTGCCATTGTGTAATGTTGTACTGTACCACACAAATTGTATTTTACTGAAATGACAATAACTGAGGCGCAAGTAAACGGATTGAAAGGTGATTAATTATTTCTAATTAAGTAATAATTGGTGCATCCTTATTCGACTTAAAAAGGTCAATAGTTTAATAATAAAACTGAGACACTTAAATTAACTCCCTACCTTCCAATGCAACTAAAAAACTGAAAACAAAATAAATTTAAAGTTTTTCTCAATGTGCTATTATTGTATTGTATTGTATTGTACCACAGAAATCTTATTACTGGTGTATTGAATTGCACCGCACAAGTTTTTTGCCTTTTTGCAATATTCTACTACACAAATTGAATTTTACTGGAATGACAATAACTGAGGCGCAAGTTAGCAAATTGAAATCTGATTAATTACTTCTAATTAAGTAATAATTGGTGCATCCTTATTCGACTGCTTCAGTGTTATTAGATGTTAATTGAACAGTTGATCCTGCAACGAGGATGGGACTTTTGCATCATCTTTCCTGAAGTATTACCTGACTGCAGCGACACTTGTCGTACAAGTAATACTTACCTGGCGTAGAAATAATACCTGACGCGTAAGTAATACCAGGCGTAGAAGTAATAACTGGCGCAGAAGTAATACTTGGCGTAGAAGTAATACCTGGCGTAGAAGTAATACCAGGCGCAGCTGTAATACCTGGCGTGCAAGTAATACCTGGCGTTGAAATAAGGCGTGACGCGTAAGTAATACTGGCGTAGAAATAATACCTGGCGTAGAAGTAATACCTGGCGTAGAAGTAACACCTGGCGTAGAAGTAATATCTGGCGTAGAAGTAATACCTGGCGTAGAAGTAATACCTGGCGTAGAAGTAATACCTGGCGTAGAAGTAATACCTGGCGTAGGAGTAATACCTGGCTTGGCGTAGAAGTAATACCTGGCGTAGAAGTAATACCTGGCGTAGTAATACTACCTGGCGTAGTAATACTACCTGGCGTAGTAATACTACCTGGCGTAGTAATACTACCTGGCGTAGTAATACTACCTGGCGTAGAAGGCGTTGACAGCGGCGTCGTAGAAGGAGGACGCGGTGATGTGGTGGTCGGGGATGGCGCCAGAAGACATGCCCAGGGCGCCGTTGCAACGACCTCCTGAGCGGTTATTATAACAAACATCTATTTTATATTTGATTAATATGATCATGAAAACCTTTTATATTGTGCTCATTAATATTCTCATAACAACCATTTGTATTATATTAAGAATTGATACGAAGGGACATGACATGACTGATAAATTGCAGACAATTCAAACCTAGAGACTGAATTTGTTTCGGATCATTAGTCGGTGCTTGATTGCTTAACCGCTAATTTGTTAATTGATTAGTCAGTCGATAACTGATTGATTAGTTATAATTAATTGACTAGTTGACTAATTACCCAGTTATTGATTGAAGGCTCGCTCAATTATTGACTGAGGGATAAGTCGTTATTTATTGATAGATTACGCAGTAAACGATTGATTGATTAGTCGGTGGTTAATTAATTGAAGTTGAGTCTCACCAACGATCCCATCAGTCAAGTTCTCAATTTAATGTAATTTTATTTCTACAAACTTCGGTTCGTGAAACTTTAGAACACACTTTAGTTTCTTCCCATCAAATATTTTAACATCATGTGTAGTTTAACATCATGTGTAAATATTTTAACATCATACCACGAAATTAATGAAAATAGACATTAATTTTAAGGTTGTTGAATAGTCATGTTGAGCCACGATAAATGTTAACAAAAATACGAAAATTTGCCTCACCTGTTCGATAAGCTTGCGTTGCAGTCGCAGAACATGCAAGCAACAACAGCAGCAATAAATTCTCAGCGAAGTACAACTCGTGAAAGTTTTTTGGTATCGCCATCACAATTTCAAATTTCAAAACCGATCGGATCACCACCATTCGATCGGATTACACCATGCGATCTGATCATCACCATGCGATCAGATCGCCACCATGCGAGTAGCACTGCTACCCGATAAACACTCAGCAATGATGATTTCTTTAGCACTTGAACATTGAATATATTTGAAGACATCTACGGCATGTCTATTATAGCTGTAATTATAATATATCTGGGAAGGAACATGTTAGCCAATCAGAATACATCTGCACGTATCATTTGGAACTCAGTTTATATGCGAGACGAATCGCTGTTTAAAAATCAATTTTAGATGAATAATTTTTTCCATTGCTTAATGACATAATTTATTTTAATTCATGGAAGACGATATTTTTCACATGCTCAAGTTTTCACAACTTTATTGCGTCCATAGATCTTTCTCATGCACTTAACTAATAAATCAAAAATTTTAAAAAACTAATCGCAGCCATTTCAGATAAAAGATGTCCGTTTATTTATATTAACTTGTTTATAACATGGAGAACCATTCTTTTCATTTTCAACACTACCCAATTTCTTTATAATTTTGTGAGTTAACATTTTTATCGCGCTGGTCAGAGTTCGTAAAAAGTTTAGCTGAAAAGTGCTAGAATTTTTCACCGGGTTTGTTGACGCATTTCCCAGTGTTTTTCGCGGGATTTTTTTGTCTGGTTTGTTCGCCTCCACCGTTCATGGGCTCGTCGTAAGACACCTGCCATCGCACGCACCTCATATTAATGAGGCTTTCCGTCGCCAGAATTTGTAAGCGAAAATCGCGTTAGATAAGCGCGCAGCTGTGGACATGAGCAAGCGCCATGGTTACTGCGGTGTTTCCGTTTCATTTTTTTTATCGCGAATATTGATTCAAGTGTACGCTTTGCCTTGAGCATTATGGAGAGATAGAAGGGTTCTTCATAGGTGCAGATTTATTAGCGAAGATGATGTTGTAGATCTAGGGTGTATGTCTTTATCATGAACATGATGAGGTTTTCAGATTTGCATATGTATAGCGGTGATACCGCATCTGTTATCCATTACTTTTATGCAATAAAACTTATATAAATTGTTTATAAAATAATCTATAAACAATCCAAATAATATATAACTAATCTAAAATAATCAATTTTGAATTGGAATTGATTCAAAATTCAAGTTCTACGTTTTTCAATCATTTTTGCTTTCGAATTGTTTACTATAAATAAAATGTTGTTTTAAAATTTTCAAATATTTTATTGGAGATTTTTTCTCTCTGTAATTAACTGTTCCTTTTATTGCTTTATTAAAAGATCAGCAGAAATATCGTCATGTGAAGTGACTCGTGTAGCTCTGCAACTCTTTACGTGTATTAATGCCCGCTGAAGAAGCTCGATCGGCATTTGTTCGTTGAGCTGCACACGACTATTCGACACGTCAGTTTTGACGTGCCATCGTCATCAACTTGTCACGTCAATATGATAGAATGAACACCTCTAGATGCTTAAGAAAACATGGCAAGATGTTTGAGAGAACACGTCTTGATGATCGTACTCGATTGTGCCAAGATGCTTGACAGAATACAAACAGAACTAGGTAAAATACAAACAAAAAGAATACAGAACAGAGTGCACTTGCATATACAAAATACAAACAGAAATAGTAAGGAACAGAGTGCACTTGCACGTACAAAATACAAACAGAAAGAATACAGAACAGAGTGCACTTGCATGTGCAAAATACAAAAAGAAAAAAATACAGAACACAGTGCACTTGCATATAAAAAAATACAAACAGAAAACATGCTGGAAGGAAAGCATCTTGTTGCTCGAGAGAACACGTCAATGTGCTCGAACTAATGCTCCCCGATATCCGGAAGAACAGTTCGGATTTAGAACCGAGTCAAGTGAGGGGTGACCGAAATAGTGCAGGAACGAACAGATACTCTTCATGCAAATATATATAAGTCCCCCCACACAAATTTATCCCCAGAAATTGTAGAATGATATAACACTAAGAAATTTTGGTACGAAAGTGGGGTTCGATGTTTTAGTTCATGTGTGACGTCATTGTTGCGATGTTAGCGGCGGCGTTGTTGTTTTGGTAGTAATTAAGTGAGGATTTTTTTCCGCAGTAGTATTAGTAATAGTAGTAGTAGGGCTTTTAATGTTTAAGAATGAAATGGTGTGAATTATTGTTCAGGTGTAAAATAATCCGTTATTACCATATGTTATGTGTGAGTTCATTTGTCTGGGTTAAAAAGAGGCGTTTTATTTCAAGTGCAACGCGCGACGTAATAGATAATTTATGGTGTTTTGTAGTTATTATTGATAATTAATAATGTTTTGTAGTTATTACTGAAGAATTATGATCTTATGTAGTTATTATTAACGTTCGTGCGCGTGTCTATAAACACGTTCATATGTTGAGTGAACGTTTCAAGTCTTGGCTGGAGAGAAAGACGAGCTTGATTAGAGAGCGGAAACTCGGAGATGAAGCAGGGAGGAAGGGAGGAAGCAAGGGGATGATAAGCGTTGTGCTGGAAACGAGAAGTGATGAGGAAGAGGGAGGTGATGGGGATACGAGCAGAACATGTTAGATATGGGGAGTTTGGAGGTGAAAAGGTGAGATACGAGCAGTGCTAGAAATATGAAATGAGGAACGAAAAAGAGATAAGAAAGAATGTCGAATATAGGAAGAAAGAGAAGCAAAGTTGGTTATGATAAAATGACAGATGAGGATATAAGGATTTTGGAGAGGCGAAGATCAAACAGGTGAAGATTAATGAAGATAAACAGATAGGGGAGGTGGAGAAAGTAGAAAATCATACTTATGTAACTACTCTTATAATTATGTAACCACGTCATGGGAATAACCTCAATCAACAATCACACGTTGTGTAGATTATAACTTAACAAAATTATACTGCATATTTTACGCAAGTAATTTTTAATGTCAAATTTATCCCATGAAACTCAAAATTCAATACCCTCATGGACATTTGAGTGGAATACCAGTATTTTAATCCAGCAATAAAATTTCCCAAATAAAGTGCAAGAGATAACCGGATGCCTGCGCGGGACGATGGGTAGATTTATTTATAATTATTTATATTATTTATGAAGTGCGCTTAAACGGATACACGTGCAGCCAACTGCTTGCGTCATCCGCTTCACCGCCTGACACTTCTGTGGCGCAGAATTTGATGCGCAGTGTGCCATACGTGCGCACAGCGCAGTATACGAAGATCAGTGTACATAGAGCCGTACGCACGCAGTAGCCACCACCCAGTACAGTAATATCGTCACGCTGGAACTGCAACCTCGAAACTACCTTAGTGTCTAATTACGTTGAAATCTCCGTATTAAATGCATGCTACATCAGTAAATATATTAAATTTTATTTAGTGCACAAGTTAAGTTTTCGAGACACTTCTATTGAATTTGACTATTTTATGTGCAATTTTTATTGATGAAAAGGCTTAGTAAACTCTCAAAATACCGTGAATCCAGCGATAACTGTAGAATGCGACCAGAAACGGGACGATGGGTACTTAAATGTAGGGCGTAATATCCGTGGAGTTTCTGACCTATGTCCATCGCTTTGTCATGAATGAATCAATTAAACGCAAATGTACATACGAACAAATGCATCGCGATTTCTCCGACCATAGAACTCTATGCATAGTTTAAAATGACGCTCTTTTATTGACTAGTGATTGTAATAATACTGATTTGCTTGTCTTTTTAGTAAAAAATGGAGATTGCATAATAGATTTTAGTATTAAATGAGTATACGATAATGAACATTTGGATCAATTCAAGCACCCAGTATTTTTAAATAAATCGGGTGTGCCAAAAAAATTGAATACGTTTTCAATATTCAAAGCCCTGTTACAAGCCTTGACCCATCTTCCAGCGCGTAAAAAATATACTAATAAAATAAACAATGTCAAATTGCTTCGACTTCATCAAACATAAATTTTATCTTACCTAATGTTGAAACCTAAACTCGCTTTGTATCTTATGCACAAGTATTTCAAGTTAATGCCTATTAAATTTGTATATGATCATATAATAATCTAATTGATATTTTGGAATCATTGTGCTTTTGCAGAAATCATGTGAATACAGTAAAAAAATTAGATCAGTACTCACTGCAGTGAGTGACAGAGTGCATTTTCTCGTCCGTCTGAGAAGTCACGGACAGACAGACGGACGGACATGATGAGCACAACAGCGCCTTTTTTCCATAAATGAGAAAATGTGCTAAAAATCCTCTAAATGTATAATAAATGTCGCAGTTTGCGCTACTCATCGACTATGGAGTGACTGGAACGCGGCATTCCATTCGAGTCCTTTGAAGGAAAGCGCAAAAACTGGCATATCCTTTAACAGGATGGAATTCTAGGAATGGAATTTTAGGAATGGAATTCTAGGAATGGAGAGTCATAAATTCAAGATCTGGAACGCTTGGTAAAGTCAACTGTTTCAAATATCAGCTAAATGAAAAGGATACTCTAGTTTCAGATTTTTAGATCCAATTCACCTCCTGAATTCGTCACTGTTTTCCTATATACGTAATGAGTTAGCATAGCCCATGTGATTTTGTTCATTATCACATTAATTGCAGTGGGATCAGGTAATGAGTTGACTATTGAAGTAACTCATTAACTGCCGTGAGTGTATTTAATTGATGATAATAAGTAACCAATTAACATATTAAAATATAGATGATGTTTACCAGAATTCTAATTTAAAGATAACCATAAAGAGTCAAATTACAGAAGAAACTATTCATTAATGAATAAATAAAAATCTGTCTTTCAATTGTTTTCTTACATCTGGTGCAGTTGACTGGAAAAAGTCGTTCAAAATTTGGCAGGTAATCGGTGAGGAAGTCGGAGAAAGAAAAAAACAAGAAAAAATCTCATTATACCAATACCGTTCGAGCGAAGAAATAATCTTTTTATAATATGTTCACGTCCAACAACTAATAAGTAATATCAATTCTACCGGGAAAAAATCAAAACGTCGGTACGCCAGTAATTACGTTGAAAGAAAATCATACAAACTCCAAAAAGGTTGTCCCATTTGAACAAGTGGCACCTTAGCTCTGGTTGTAAAATGCAGAGCATTTACACTCAGAAGGGAATATTTTAACTTTATATTGTTATCTCCATATTTGCTTGCACTCGAAACATTTCCAAAAAATA